CCCCCCCCCTCCCAGATGTGAGGCATCCTCCCCCTCTCCTGGCCTTCACCTTGTTTTTTAATCGTCTTTGCCCCTTTTTAAATGTCTAACTTTTATAAACTCTTTAATTTTTAATATTGTACCGTACACCGCCCAGAGTCCCTCTGTAAAGGAGATGAGTCTTGTCAAAATTTGCAAAAGAAATAAATAAGCCCCCCTTTGGAAAGGCATCTTTGCTGCTTCTCCAAGGACATAAGTGGCACGTGGGTTGATGGGTGACCCCTTGTAGGTCCAGCCAATCGTTCAGGTCCTGAAAGGGTGGGAGTTAAGTGGTCTCTTCCACTGTCTCCTGCCTAGAACCGGCCCTGATTTTCTCATGGGATCTCTCTTTCTCTCTCTCTCTCTCCCCAGGCTAGCCCCAGCCCCAGCCCAGTGGGCTATAGCCCTATGACCCCAGGGGCTCCTTCCCCAGGAGGTTACAACCCTCACACCCCGGGCTCTGGGATTGAGCAGAGCTCCAGCGATTGGGTCACCACCGATATCGAGGTCAAAGTGCACGACACGTACCTGGACAGCCATGTGGTGGGGAAGACCGGAGTCATCCGTAGCGTGAATGTAAGTGGCTGGATAGCAACTGGCCCCTTGTAGGTTATTCCTGGTTCTTGAACATCTTTATGGCTACCGTTTCATGTTGATCAAGGAGAGGGATTGGCTCCCGCAGAGCCAAGGATAGATTATCTTGTCACCAGAGGTAGGTGAGCTTTCCTGTTATTGATGCTTCCAGATTGTCACCTGGGTGGTTTTCTTTTCTTTTTTTTTCTCCTCTCTCCCTCCCATTCTTTCCTCCCTTATCTGCCCTGCTAGGGCGGGATGTGTTCAGTCTACGTTAAGAAATGTGAAAAGGTAGTCAGCATTTCAAGCGAACACCTGGAGCCTGTGACACCAGCCAAGAATGATAAGGTAGGTGGAAGCATTCTCCACCAGGCAGCCTTGTCAGTCAGTCTGTCTTATCTACCATCCATCTAATCTAATCTAATCTAATCTAATCTACCTTCCATTAGCTAGCTATATTATCTATCGTTTATCTCTTTTCAAATGACTCGGCAGCTTACAGCATAATAAACATTTTAAACACATTAAAATCATAAAGATACAAAGTGACAGAGAAGACGAAATAAAATCATTAACAGAAGATGGAGCAGGAGGGAGTGGATACACGAGTGTGGGCTGGGCTGGGGGCTGGATTAGCTTTGAATTAGTCGAGCACCCCCAGTGTGAAACTCTGGTCAACACAGTTGTTGGGAAATGGGTGGCCCTTTAACAATGCAAAATGCTCTCGGGGAAGCCTGGCTTTTTAGCCAAATAGCTCTTGAGTTTTCTCCTGCCTTGCAGGTCAAAGTCCTCTTGGGAGAAGACCGCGAAGCGACGGGGATGCTGCTGAGCATTGATGAGGGAGACGGCATTGTCCGCATGAACCCAGAAGAGCAGCTCAGAATCCTCAACTTGCGTTTCCTCGGCAAACTCGTAGCAGCTTAGCAGGACGGAGAACAACAGTGGGCTGTGATTAGGGTTTCCTTATGTTTTCTGCTTCCCTATTTTTTTCATTTAGCCGGTTTCCTCCCGACTGCACCGCCAAGGTTTTGTACAGATTTGCTCCTGAAAAAGGTTTATTTTTTTTTATGTGCGTGTGCGCGTTTCTTCCTGCTGGCCGTTTTTCCCAGCACTGCGGGTGGCTGCTTGAGCGAGGGACAATCTTGCAATTGTGTTATGACGTGACTTCAGCGGAAGAGCTGCCACCAGTGGAACACCAGGCCCTGCCGTTCCCCTCCTCTTCCGTAGCACTTTATGACCTCTTCATCACCAAAAAACATCCAACCTCTGTAGCTTGTTTAATAAAATCATCTCCTAAAACTTCTTTGAATGAGGCTTATGTGGCCTGTAGCCAAAGGATTCAGTGATTCTCAGAGGAAAAGACTTTATCTTGTGAATTCCTACCTACACAAGTTTGTTTATCATCTATCTATATCATCTATCTTATCTGCCTACCATCCATCCATCTCATGCTCATTTATTCAGTCACCCACTCACCATCCACATCTACCTCTATATCTATCCAATAATGATCTATATCCCTCCTTCCATCACCCTGTGAGGTGGACCAGGGCGCAAGAGGGCAGCTGGCTCCAAGTCCTCCAGGAGGGTTTCTTGGCTGAGGGGGGCGACTTAACCCCCCTTCCAAGCTCCCAGAGCGTCTTGACTGCCCAACTTCCACTAGGTAGGTGCCTGCCATCTCTCTCTCTCTCTTTTTCTCATTTATGTATTGGATTTATTTATTTATTGTATTTATTACACTTTATTTCTTACCTTTCTTAAATTTAAATTATTTATTGAATGTTGGAGCCTGACTCCCATCATCCCCAGCTGCCAGAGAGGCGGCTGCGGCTGATGGGAATTGCCACCGGCCACTCTCGCCCAGCACGAGGGATGCGCATCCCGGTCCAGATGGCACCCAGCCGCCGCATCCGAGCTCTGCCATTGGCTGGGACGCTTGCCGCAAGCCAGCCAATCAGCGCCTTTAACGACACGGCCCGCCGGCTGGAAAATAGAATCGCCGCCTACTTCGGGCGTGGGTTCTGAGGAGCGAGCGAGGCGACAGGCGCCGGCCTAGAGCGGCCGTTGTGACGTCATCCGTCCCAGACCCGCGGGAGTCTCCTGTCGAATCAGCGCGCCGACTCCCCCATGACGCGCTCTTCTCCGAGTCTCGCGAGACTTGGCGGGATCTCCGCGTTAGGAGGCGGGGGTCTCTGCTTTCCTTCGAGTCGCCCCTGTTCGCCCCTCTCGGGGAGGAGGAAGCCGGGCGAGGGACCGAGGAGCTGGTAAGCGGCGCCGAGGAGACCCGGAACGACCTTTGACCCTCTCCGGAGCCCCTCCCGCCGGGGGATTTCCCCGCCCGCGTGGCAGACTTCTTGGATTACAGCTCCCATCCTCCCCAGCCACTGGCCCGGTGCTCCCCAAGGGCGCTGGACTACACTCCCCATTCTCCCCGGTCTCCTCTCCGAACCGCAAGTCCTATCCTCCCCTCCGGGGCGGCCCCGCCCTTTCAAGGGCCGGGACTGCGATGCCCATCATCCCCAGCCCCCTTCCGGCCAGACGTTGCTGGGGCTGCCCCTCCCCCAAAGGGCTTTTTCTTGGCGGGTCCGTTGGTTTCAAGATGGACGAGGCGCAAAGTAATTTATAAGCATAAACACTCCGTAGTAATAATTCTTTACAAGGTATAAAAATTAAAAATGTTTGACAAGCCGATACTCTTGACAAGGCCGGGGGAGGGGGCGGCACTGTAGGTTGTCTGTTTTTTTCTTTGCTTGTTTGTATCCCCTCTTCATTGTTTTTATAAACGACTCATGGTGGAGAACATACCTAATACTCCTCCTTCCTCCGATTTTCCCCACCACAACAACCCTGTGAGGTGGGCTGGGCTGAGAGAGAGGGACTGGGCCAAAGCCACCCAGCCACCTTTCTGGAGTGGGGTGGAGTATTTCAATTAGGTTCTGCTTGAGGAGGGGGCTGGACTAGAAGACCTCCCAGCTCCATTCTATTCTGTCGCCGTCTCCTGGTGACTGGCCCAAAGTCACCCAGCTGGCTTTCATGCCTAAGGAGGGATCTCTCACTTTCTAGCCTTTCACCACCGGACCAGGTTGGAGGTCTGGCTGGGGGGGGGGGAGAGGGGAACTGGGTCGTCCGAGCGGCAGGCTGGCGCACGCGGCTCAACTTGTGCAAAGGCCCACAAGGGCTGCATGCCCACGCTTGCTGGCCCACCATGTGCGTGGCCCAATTCCAGATAGGCTCGGTAGTGGGCTGGCTCGCTGTCGTATCCCTCACTGGGTGAGAGAAACATTACACGATAGATAGCCTTTGCGCCCAGGGTCCTCCTTCGATCTGTCCCAGTTTGAGCCGACCTCCTGCCCCATCAGGCACATCAGATTTTTCCCTCTGGGCTTCTCTTCTTCCACGGCCAGAGAGTGTGGTCAAGATGTCCGACAGCGAAGACAGCAACTTCTCCGAAAATGAGAGCGAGCGCAGCAGTGAGCCTGAGGAGGTGGAGGAGAACGAGGTGAGCCCTGAATTGGGGTTCGAAGTTCCCCTTTGCCAGACTTGGGAACCAACCCTTTCTTCCCAGGAAAGCTGCTTCCATCGAGTTTAGCTTAGCCAAACTGGTTCTCCCTTGTACCTGCAGGCACAAGAGCGGGTCAGCGTTGTAGGAAGCGAAAAAGAAGTGGAGGAGGAGGAGGAAGATGAATATGACGAGGAGGAAGACGAAGATGATGATCGGCCTGCAAAAAAACCCAGACACGGAGGCTTTATTTTGGACGAAGCGGGTAAAAACTCCCCGCCTTAATGGTTTGGGTTTAGGGGTGCAGAACATAGGTCCTCCTCCACTTATGACCATTTGTTTCATGACCAAAGTTATAACAGCACTGGAAAAGGACTTATGAGCGTTTTTCACACTTAGGACCGTTGCAGCATCCCTGTGGTCACCTGATCAAAATTTAGCATATATGTATACGATTACAGTGTTTCGGGATCACGTGATCCCCTTTTGCAACCTTCCAATAAGCAAAGTCAATGGGGAAGGCAGATTCATTTAACGATCATGTTACTAACTTAACAGCAGCCACTTAACAACCGTGGCAAAAAAAGTCATCAATTGGGGCAAAATTCACTTGACTTCCTTGCTTAGCAAGAGACGTTTTGGGCTCAGTTGAGTTGAGGATACACGTTGTATACGGAAAGAAATCAAGTTCTTACTGTTCCTCACAGTGTGGGTTTTCCCTGTTCTCTTTGTTTCCAGATGTTGACGATGAGTATGAAGACGAAGATCAGTGGGAGGATGGAGCAGAAGACATCCTGGAGAAAGGTAGGGCCGACCAGCTTCGTGTGCTGATATCTGAGATTCGGAGAGCTGTAGAGGTCAGGATCAATCAAGACCTTGCAAGTGTACAAGTCCGGCATACCTTTTCCTCTAAGTTCCTGTTTTGATGGGGTTCCTTTTCACCTTCACCTGCCCTCCCCACCGGGCACTCCCTAAATGGGCAGGATTCAAACATCCAGGAGGCTGGCTGGGAATTTGGGAGCAAAATCTCAGTGTCTTGCAGGGTGCCTGGCTTTCGGGAGTGGTTTTCCACCAGCTGAAAGAAATTTAACCAGCTGTCTTTTCAATAGGTTTCTATTTCCCTCCTATTATGATTGGGGAACATTTCTCCTGTTCCAACAATGCACTTCTTAAAGTCTGTTGACTACTTTTCAAAAGTTTGTGTCTTTTTTTTCTTTCTTTCTCCTGTCAGAGCTAGAAATGGTCTCTTCTCCCCTCTGGGATGTCTGCAACCACTTCCCAACCTGTAAAACCCAAATGCTTCTATAAAACTTGTGGTCCTGAGGCTGGGTTAAAACTATGAACGAGTCTTTGGTTGCAGAGATGCACAAGGCTCTATTTTGAGCGGTAGCTGACAGAATGCTAGAGGCGGTGACCGAGTGCCCCTGAGACACCTTCCCCCACCTGCCCTCCCTGGGTCCCGGCCCTTGCCCCCCCCCAGACAACCCCCACCCATGTCCCCAGCACTTCCCTCCCCTCTCCCCCCTTCTTGGTGGCTTCTTTGCGTTTCCGTGCATCTCATTCGCTTCTGCTTGGTTTGTGCCTCATCTTAATTTTGTTCCTTCCGCTTTTCTGTTCCCCATTCACCTCCACCCTGTGGTTGGTTTTGATGGTATTATTTGGCTCATACTGTCCGCCTTTCCACCACCACCACCACCTCCTCCTCCCGAGCAGAAGAAATCGAAGGTAAGACACTTTTTTGTTTTTCTCCTCTCCATTCCAGCTCCTCTCCTCTCCACCAGCTGCCTTCCTTCTCTGCTTCCTTTCAGCCAGGTGGGACGGAATGAATGGGGGACCGTGGGGAGAGGGGAGGGGAGGGGAAGAGCGCCCCACCTGTGGGCTTAGCCGCTGCAGGTAGCGTAGGGGATCTTCCGAGGGTGTCCAGTGGCCCAGGCGTTCAAAAACCGCCTGCAAGATCTGCAGAGCGGCCCCAGCTGAGGCTCCCTGAGTGCCAGTAAAGCTCTGCATAGACAAAGAGTCCGGCCTCAATACAGTTGCTTCTCTTTGCGTGCCTCTTTTCTACGCGCAGGGACTTTCAGGTGTGCAAACATCCCCTCGCAAACAATTACGCAAAGCTACAGTTGCTTTTCTGCCTAAAAAGCTCTGTCTCTCCTTAATATTCTGATAAGGCCAACCTAGCATCAGTGCACAGAAACAGGGCAGGCCCAGCTATCAGTAGCTTCCTGGGGCCCTGCAAGGGCTGCAAAAGTCTTTCTCTTTTCTTTTTTTCCTACCTTCTTCCTTCCTTCCTCCTTTTCCTGAGCAAGTGTTCTAGAGTTGACAGAGAGCAATGGGCTGTCCCAGCCACCAAACTTCACATCTGGAAGCTGCTGGGCCTCCCTTCTTCGGCTTTCTCCTCAAATTTGCCCACTGCCTCTCTGCTCCTCCTTCCTCTCTTGCCCTTTGCCAACTTCTGTCTCTTTTCTTAGCCTCCAACATCGACAATGTGGTGCTGGACGAAGACCGTTCCGGAGCCCGAAGGCTGCAGAACTTGTGGAGGTAATGGGAAAGGGGAGGGGAGAAGGAGGGAGGGAGGAACAGGGCTCAGCTGCCGATAAAGGTTCTGTGTTTCAGTTCATATCTAAATAACGCCATTATTAAATGTTTAGACAAGCCATTTACGTGTTGGCTATAGTTTCGCTTGTTTGTTTATTTTTACATTTCTGAACCTTCCATTCTCCCTCAAAGAGGGACTCTGAGCGCTGTACAATAAAATGTCGAAATATAAAAACAGTATGTAAAAGATAAAAGTTTAGAAGGA